TTCAACATATGGCTCAAGATCAGTAGTAAACTATACAAAAGATAACTAAAAATATTTTACATTATACTTACCCTTGAAGAAGCTGTGACTGCATAATTATATGGAGGCTGAGGAGAAAAGTCTACTTTTGACACTGCACCAAACTCCTTAATCTGGACAGGGGTCTTAATGAAAAATAATAAGGTATTAACAGAGTTAGAACAGGTAGGACCTATTTAAACATTATGTAATTTCTTAAGGCCATTTATTTTTCTTCTAAGTAACATTAGGTTGTATGTAACAGAGAATTATGAGGAAAACAAAAAACATCCAAATCTCATCATCTAGACCAGCGGTTCTCAACCCGTGGGTCACGACCGCATTTTTTTTTTTTTTTTTTGCAGTTTTTGGCTGGGGCTGGGTTTGAACTCACCATCTCCAGTATATGGGGCTGGCGCCCTACTCCTTTGAGCCACAGGTGCCGCTGGGTTGCGACCTCTTTTTAACAATGAAAATACACTGCGGCATTAGGAAGGTTGAGAACCACTGATCTAGACTATCCTTGTTGCCACTAAAATAAACATATGGTTAGAAAGATGTACCCCACTGTCTCTTTAGCCATTGAGTTTACTGTAATTCCTACCAGAAAAAAAAAAGGGCATGGGTATGCCTATACCAGCATACATTCAACCATTTATTTTTAAAATGACAGAAAGATGATTATACAAGTTGTTCCACACCTTGCTTCTTTTCTCTTAATAATACATCTTAGCTCACTTTTTCTATGAGCAATCCATTATAAGGACAGACCATAAGTTACTGTACCAGTCCACTACTAACGAATATACATTTTTCAAGATTTCTCCTATTAAAAATAATACTTCAGGGGCAGTGCCTGTGGCTCAAGGAGTAGGGCACCGGCCCCATGTACCAGAGTTGGTGGGTTCAAACCTGGCCCCAGCCAAAAAAAACTGCAAAAAAAAAGAAAAATACTTCAAGTAGTATCTTTATACGTGTATCTTAGCAAACTTTTGGGATTATGTCCACTGAGTACTTTCCAAGTTGCAAGAGTACAAGGTCAAAAAGTATGTGTAAATAAAAAATTATAATAAAAAATAATAAAATAAAATCAAATCATGGTAGGTCAGGAGTGATGCCTCACGCCTGTAATCCTAGCACTCTGGGAAGCCACAGCGGGAGGACTGCTTGAAGTCAGCAATTTGAGACCAACCTGATCAAAATCAAGACCCCTCCCATATTAAAAATAGAAAAGTTAAAAACAAAATAAACAGAAAAATTAGCTAGCTGTGAAGGCATGTGCCTGAGGCAGGAGGATTACTCGAACCCAGGAGTTTGAAGTTGCTGGGAGCTAAGTTGCTGGGAGCTAAGCTGAGGCCATAGAAGTCTAGCCTGGACAACAGAGCCTGACTCTGTCTCAAAAGACAAAAAAAAACAAAAAACACATGATAAATATTGCCAAATTGCCCTCCAGAAAGTATGTACTAATTTCCCTCCCTCGAGTAACAATGATGATCAAAATTTTCCATTTGTGCCAACATAACAGACGAAAAATACATCCTGAAGTATGGTCTTAGCTCTTTTAATATACTTATTGGCCATTTTACATTTCTTTTTCCACAAACTTCCTAAGCTTTGTTTTCTATTTGTAGCTCAATTCTATTTTTTTTTTTAACCATCTGTAAGCCTTTTCAGATGGCATAGAAGAACTAATTTCAGATCACTTCTTCCACAGATTAAGAAAGGCTAGAAGGCCAAGCACAGCAGTTCATGCCTAGAATCCTAGCACTTTGGGAGGCCGAGGTGGGAGGATTGTTTGAGGTCAGACGTTGGTGACCAGCCTTAGCAACAAGACTGTCACTGCAACAAATAGAAAAATCAGCAGGGTGTGGTGGTACACACTACTCTGGAGGATGAGGCAGAAGGATCAGTTGAGCAAAGAAGTTGAGGTTGTAGTAAGCAACAACGGATGATGCCACTGCACTCTAGCCTAGGCGACAGAGCGAAAAAGGCAAGAAATTATGTTCTTGCATCTGAGATTACAAAACTTAATTCATTTGGCATTGACTGATGATCAATTTATTCTGTGCTGGGTACTTGCATAGTTAAACTGATAAGACAGTATGGATTTTTATATAAAATTCCAAAAAAAATTGATATAATATTAGCTACCCAAACAATAGCTGCTGATAGATTTTTTAGTTAAGGGGTCTTTGTCAGAGTATCCAAAGTATAACACAGGCTGGAGAAACTGCCATAAACACAAATCCCTCCTTCTTCATTATCTCCCATACTCACCTTATAGTTGTTCCAGTATATTGTATCTTGGGTGATTTTTTCTCCAAGTATAGGATATGTCTGAATAGCTACAGGCTTATAACCAGACATGATTTCATATAATTGTACTGTTGTCCACGGACCAATAATTTGGAATTGTTATTAGAAATAATTAAGTGATTCTGCCCTAAGTCTGAAAAAGAAAATATTTTATATTCATATCATTCATAAATATAAACTTGTACATGTAATTTTCATTTGGACTTTTGTAAAAGGTTGTATAGAAGTTTATTGACTAGTGACCAATAAGCTATTTAACTGCAATCCAAAAAAGACAATCTAAAAGACATAGGAATAATACAATAAGGGCTACCAAACTGTGCCATCTATTCAGTATATACAGAGGCTGTACCCAAATGTTCGCCCACCTAACCGGTCATTTTACAATACTTGGGAATACATCTGGCTCAACCTTCCAGTAGCCAAACCAAAAAGAAGCACACTGGCTTAGTATTCATTTTTGACAAGAAACATCAAGGTAAAAGTAAGAAATACAAAAGTTTCCTGACACTAAGTTTAAGGTGACATTTAAGAACACAGGCTAGGTATTTGACTTCCTGACAGCCTAAAAAACGCCAATAAAAAAAGAAAAACTATTATTCCAATGTATAAGCTTAAAGTTAATTTTAAAATCTTTTTTTTTTTTTTTTGAGACAGAGCCT